CTACTTAAATCCCCCGAGTCATTATTGGGACCCCCCCTCCCTCTTATTATTTCAGGTCCCCCTTAAATTATTTAGATTACTGGATTTTTGCCCCTAATTTGATTTTCCCGGATATATCGTGCCTTCTCCGAGAATTAATATATTTTAAATTCCCGGCCAAGGTCACAGTGTATAAAAGGGAAACAATCACGGTTACCATTCAGTAAAGAAAAGAATAAAGAACATGTCAAAAGACCGTTATATATAGTTCATTCCGATGTCACGGGCCCTGTCACACCGCCAACGTTAGATGAAAAGAATTATTTCGCTTTGTTCATAGACCAATATACTCATTATTGTGTTACGTATCTATTTAAATGCAAATCAGAAATTTTCCATGTATTGAAGGATTTTGTGGCCAAAAGTGACGCCAAGTTCAATCTAAAGCTAGTAAACTTGTATTGTGATAATGGAAGGGAATATTTATCAAATGGCATGAAGGACTACTGTACAGAGAGAGGCAGAAGTTTTCATCTGACAGTCCCAAGAACCGCACGACTAAATGCTGTGACCGAACGTATGGTGAGAACCATAACGGAGAAGGTAAGAGCAATGATGATTGGCGCGAATTTCCTAAAAGAATTTTGGGGAGAAGCAGCTCCCACTGCTACTTACCTAGTAAATATAACACCAACCAAAGCTCTAAAATGTGAAAAGACACCATACGAAATGTGGCACGAGAAAAAGCCAACCATGAAATACTTGCAAGTTTTGTTCAACCGTATATGTCCATCGAAAAATTCGATGAGAAATCATGGAAAGGTGTCCTCGTCGGATACGAGCCGAATGGCTACAAAGTGTGGGATAGCGAAAAGGCTACGGTTGTGAGGGATGTCATCATAGATGAGTTTGATTGTGAAAAGTCTAGACCATCTGACAGAAAATCAAACAAAAACTACCCATATTGTGGGAGAGCATAATGAGCCTCGTGAGCCTGCTGAATTGAGTGGAATACCGCTAAAAGTGCACAACCCAGCAGGATTAGAGCATATGGAACAGACAGGTGACTGTGCAGACCTGTGTTCTCCAGTATCTGATGAAGAAAAAGTATCCCCTATCCAAATTGAACCGAGGAGAAGTGACAGGATTAAAAACTTACCACCTGGTTCGTATGACGAAGTTAATATGCCGGACGATTCCGTTTTGTCAGTACAGTCAACACGACATGAAATTCCGAGAACATTTCAGGAAATAAATTTAGAAAAAATAGTGCTCAATGGGAAGAAGCAATTAAAAATGAAATAGATTCGTTACTACAGAATGAGACATGGACATTAGTTTCTAGGCCAAATGCAAATAATACAGTTGATGGTAAATGGGTTTTTGCTATAAAAATTGATGAGCATGGCTATCTTGCAAAATATAAAGCTCGATTAGTCGCGCGAGGATTCTCTCAAGAATATCTGCCAGATTACAATGAGACCTTCGCTCCAGTTGCTAGAATCACAAGTTTTAGATTTATATTAGCCTTCGCTAATCCATTCAATTTATTAATTCATTATATGGACGTGAAAACCGCATTTTTGAATGGAAATCTAAAAGAAGAAATATACATGAAAGTACAGGAAGGCATAAAAAAATGAAGGCATACCAGAAAAAAGAAGTTTGTGAATTAAACAAAGCACTTTACGGGTTAAAACAAGCGGTACAATGTTGGTTTGAGGTTTTCGAGCAAGCTCTCAAAAGAAAAGGTTTTAACAATTCACCAGTGGACATATATACAGGGTGTCCCAGAAGTACGTGCCGATAATTAACCGGCATGTACAGGGGGTGAGTCCGACCCAAAAAGTCCTTTACCACTTTTGGATCGGAAGCACCCCTCCGAAGATACTGGGGTAAACAGGACAGCCAATGACGCTGCCGCGTTAAGCGGCAGTACGTCGGTGTGGCTGTCGCGCTCGAGTGTGA